TACACTGAGAGCAATGGGTGGGGGAACTTTCAAGCATTGGGATGCACACTTACCAAAGGCCACCTGGTTGGTCAACACCAGAGGATCTGCCAACAGGGCCGGCCCAGCCCAGTCAGAACTTTTACATATTGTAGAGGGGGACAAAGTTCCCGTGGTGCATATGAAGAATTTGCTGGGGAGGACAGTCTGGGTTATTCCTGCTTCAGGTAAAGGCAAACCCACTGGTGAGATTGCTTTTGCTCAGGGACCTGGATATACTTGGTGAGTAATGTGGGAAGATGGGGAAGTCCGATGTATACCTCAAGGGGATTTGATTTTAGGAGAAAACAGCCACTGAACTCAATTGTATGCTGTTGCCTGCTGCGTAATACTTTTATAGCCCATCAACTAGATGTCTCCAGGTCACCAGCGACTAGCCCTGACTTCCCTCCAGCCATCATCCCAACAGAGAATGAACTTTGATAGAACCGGATGAGTTCCGCAGTAAAGGAACAACCAGCATCAGCAGGCAATGATCCAATACTGCACACAGCCTTTCCTATCCTGAAAGACTGTTACAAGAGATGGAACCTGACATCATGGACTGAATGGACTTGGCAGCATTATAGGGATTGGTCCATGCACTAAGAAAATGATCTTTTTCTATTGGTCTGTGTATATATGGATGTATATATGTGGGAAAGCGATGGTGTATTGAAAAATGTGGGATCTGAGCATGATGTGAATGGTATGGAATAAGGGGTGGATAACGTCCTGAGTTCAGCAGTAGCAGTCATGTTTCTCCTTGGTGGTAGCTGGTGCAGTGCTGTGTTTTGACTTCCAGCCTGGGAACAGTGCTGGTGAAACCGATGTTTTCGGTTGTTGCTAAGTGATGTTTACCCTGACCAAGGACTTTGTGAGGCTCATGCTCTGCCAGGGAGGAGGGGAAGCCGTGAGGAAGCAGAGATGGGGTGCCTGACCCGGGCTAGCCAGGGAGGTATTCCATACCACAGCACGTCATGCCCAGGGTGGAGGGTAACTGGGAGTTACCCAGAAGGACATGGGCTTCTGGGTGGGACTCGTTTCTTGGCCGGTGGTATCGTATTCTCTTCCCTTGTTATTTTCTCTTATCATTGTTGTAGTTGATAGTAGCGGTGGTGATTTGTGTTGTACATTGGTTGCTGGACTGCTCTTGTCTCAACCCATTCATCGGGGCTCGGTTGCTGTCAGCTCGGCACCACTCACTGGGAGTGAGTGAACAAGCTGCCTGGCTAGGGTTTAAACCACAACACTAATTTTCAGATTCTCTTTGAAACAATGTGACAATGACTTCAGACAAACTTAATAATACTGTTACACTGTGGGGTTTTTTTAATTACTGTGAAGTATAAGAAACTGAAAGGAAAACAAACAGATGTTGTAAATAATATCTTTAGTCCATTCTGATATACGTCACCCTGGCATACCTTTTTAGGGCAAAATACTATGAGAGAGGAGAGACTGTCTTTCCCATTGATACTGCATTGGGTCTTTTATCTGTTGATAAATATAATAACTGTATTTGTGCTAGAAGTATGGTAGCTACAGTAGCTGTTATTCTGACATTAATGACAAGCATACAAGAGAAAATGCAAATTCAATGAAACCAGATCTTTTTACTGCAGACTTGCTTAATTTCTTTCTTCATATTCTAAGATACGTATACTAGGGAAAGTGGATGGCAACGAAAGTGGGATTTTTTTCAGTATTTCCAAGAAAATTTGAGTAAGTGGTTGTTGTGCTAAAGCTATTAAAATGTCACAAATATCTTCACAGTATAGTTTGAAACTCTTAATACAACAAAAATACTAGAAGAATAAACCAATCCAAGCACTCAAAAAAGTCTTTTTTTTTTGTAGTCATCTGACTCCTATATTATTTAAAAGCCACAAAATACCAATTGTTTGTGTTGAAATAAATTCTCCTTTAAAAACAGACTATTAAGATTTTAATAAGATTTTATTTTTTACCATGTGGACTATGAAAAATATCTTGACCACTGAAAGAAAAATAAAAGAAGAAGGAAAAACATGTAGCTGTTATCTTTTTGTCTGCTTGAAGCCTAGCAAATAGCTTATCCGATTTAAAACATTTCCTTTTTGCTTTAGAAAATAAAAAAAAAAAAAGCTGACATGAAAGCCAGGCTTCAGCTGAAAACAAATTAATACAGCCTAGGTAACCAAATCCTTTAAAATATACAGCAATTCACACCAGCGATAACCCATTCTCCGTTATGCACAGCAGTACTAGAGAATGCTCTTGTGCTCTATGCAGCTTTTGGCTTCAGCCTTAAAAACACTGATGGTAGGATTACCACTCTAGCACAGGGGTACAGGGTCAAAAGTCGATAAGCTGAATTTTTGCCAACAGAAAAATTTATCTTGCCACAAAATAACTTCTCTGATTAATCTGTTCACATATTAACAATCCTATTTTTGGCAAATCTAGACAGAAGAAATTGCACTTGTAGAAAACTTTCAAGATGTGTGCAAATTATTTTAGGTGAGGAAGAAAAAAATGAGAAAGACAACAGAAGTGGGAACAAAGAAAACAGGTCAGCAGTTGCTATGTGCAATAATATTGTGGTGGTTGTATACCCTTTCCTTCTTCCTCCAAGAATTACCGTATTTTAAATGGCAGTTATTAACATGGATTAACTCTGTACAGATTAGTCAAGTACAGCATGACTGCAGTTCTAAACTATTTTTGATCTATTCAGTTTAATTATGATTCTAGGTTATCAGAACTGAATAAGCATGGAATTTCCTGTTGGAAACACCTTTTCAGTAAAGCAGTACATCATGTGTTCAAGAAGGTGAGTTGAAATTCATTAATAAAAATCAGGAGGAAACCCTTTAATTAAAGCAGTAGGAAATACTATTTGCAATCAAGAACAACTTCTGAAAGTACTATGCTAACGGTTTAAAGAAAATCCATTCTGAAGAGCAACCTGATTCAGTCATTTTGAAATCCATGTGCTACAGTGCAATGAGTTGATCAGTCTCCTGAACACTGCCCTCAAAATCCTGGTAAACAGCTAAGATCAAGAACTGGGAGAGATGCATCACAGACTTCGAGAAGTAATTTATAAGCCTGTGCTTTGAGTATGTATATGAAACATGTATCTGACTTGTCTTGCTCTGCCATAAAATGTAAATACTCCAGATGAATGCACACTAAATGTACTAAAAAAAGAAAAAATAAAATAAAATCAGAGCATTCTTTGCTTGGCACAGTAGAAACACTTTCTAACAATATATAGCTGTGTTTTCTATTTAGAATGTTAAACACGCAGGTACGGGAGCAGGTGGTGTATCCCTAATCATCACATTCACCTTTCAACATTCTTGATTTGCAAAACAGGGACATTTCTATTTCTATTCAATCTCAGATTACTGTAACATATTCTGATTTTGAATTTAACCACCACAAAGGGAAGAATTTATCAGGAAAATCTGATCACACTTTTCCACCATGTACTGGTTAAAAAGAAAATGTGGGCTGTACTTATGCCAGAAGCTAAATTTCTAACTAAACTAATTTCTAGCTAAACTCCCAATTTCTATTACCCAGCAGGAGGAGAGCCTGACAACAGCTAGGCAAATCTTCCCTATCTGGGGATTGGCAAAACCTCAGATGCTGATTCTACATAAAGCCTGAAGCATACCTGAACTACACAAATTTTGTGAGGTTTAGCTATCCTTCCAAGAATGTGAGTCTGGGTATACTATGACTGAAGATACCTTTCTAGGAATTAACAGGAGCAAAAATAAGCTCCCTAGAGAATTCTGAATATAATAAATCTGCAACCATCTACCAGATTGGTGGTGTTAGGGTATTTCTAGGCAGGCTGTGTATTCTACTCTGCAATGACATAGGACTGCATGGTACCTGCATTCCTGCTTTCATTTCCACATACATGTGTGTTTTAAAAACTTCTCTGGCAGCCTGTGCTATGGTATTTGTTGAGCATTCACACTTGCCATGTCAGAATACTCAAGCACAAGTACGCACAGATGTGAACTAAATAAACAGAGATCAAATGATCTTAGGAGGGAAGTATAAGCTTCCATCCCAGCTCTCATCAAAATAATATAAAATTCATAGAATATAATCCTCGAATACCTGGAAGAAGTAGGGAACGAAGACTGAGCTTGCTTAGGTGCCATTAGTCTAGACCATGAGAAAAAATCCCCAACATTAATTTCTTCTGCAAACGTACTAATCTTTCTCTTTCCCATCCCCGTTTTTTTTTCTTCTTTTTTTTTTTGTATCCATTAAACAGTTTTAGATATCCTCCTTATTTGACTTCTAATTGTGTATACAGCATTCTCTTTCTCTCTCACGTATACCTTAGTCAAGAATGCCAAAAAAAAAAAAAATCCACCATCAAATACATAAAACAGTAAATGATAATAAAATAGAAAGTGTATTTTGATGCCTTTATGTAGGATTTGGGCATTCTAATCCCTCCTTTCTTTAGCTACTGAAACACTGGGAGACAGGTTCAACTCACAGATCATATATGCACACTTTTGTTGAGCCATACAAGATGCATTCATTTCATTCTGACATTGAAGATCTGAAAGTCTGAGGTTGGTATGTTTGAATTTCCATTAGGCTTGGTGATTTATTAGATGATGCTCCTTTGCAATACAAAATCTGCTGTGCAAAAATATTATAAACTTTTTTCACTTTCTGCTAAGTCCTGCTAGAACCATATTATTTCCTGAAGGCTAGAATATTCTTCTGAACTATACACAAGCTGTTAAACTCCAGTAGCACTTGAACCTATTGCCAGAATAAGAGACCCTCACTTTCTCATCCTAGAAATTGCTATAAAAAAAGTACATCCAAAGTGCCTGCACATGCATGTACAGACAAATAGATATCACTACTGTCTATATCATTCCATCTCTTTTTATTTGAAGATACTGGGAAATACGGACAGAATAGAGAAGACAGGAATAGATATTTCTTACCATGTGCCACCCAGCCATGTTTACACTGATCACAGGTTCTCAGGTTAATCTTCCCTGGCTGAAAACATTCACATGTGCAATTTACCAGCGTACAGCGGATGGCCTGGAAAAAGAAACAGAAGACACACATTAATGTCTTTCTTACTTCTTGCGCAAATTTGTTGTGATGCCTAGACCTGTACAGCAAAAAAACAGCTTTCTAATATTCTTTTCTAACATTGCTTATTCTTTTAAGTAGAGATTAATTCTCTTTCAAAAACATACATCAGTATCCCTGAGCAATGACAACCAAAATGCATATTCAATAATTCCATAGTCTGTTGTTCCATGGAGATGAATACATTCCTGTAGCCTTAGAAAGAATTGCTCTATTTCCTTTAAGGAAAAAAAAAAAAAAAAAAAGGTAGGGTGAGGATTCTGTAGGTGTTCCACAAATTTCCTGTTTTCGCATCAACTGCCTGAAGGAAAAAGTTACTAGTGATGTCTTACCATAACAGAGTGATTGAAACCAAAACTAAAATGAGGAAACAAAAACACACAAAAATGAAAACTACAGAACTCTTTCCCCTTCCCCCATACCCGAAGTTTCCTTTTTGGAGTTCATGTGTGATATACCTCTGCTACAGGAAGGAGTCATGGATTTGATGTGTTCCCAAACTAGGATAAAATGAACAAGGTACAGGAACAGGCCTGGTTCATAAAACATCCTGTAACTTTCCTTTGCATCTATCACATCTATTACCTCTTAGCAACTCCGATTTTCAAATATATAGTTCTCTATTTTGAAAAAGATGAAATGATTTCACAGCAGCAATGCTAAAACTCCAGTCTGAAGAGCTCTAAAATTTGCTTAAATAATACACCTTATTAGCATCTCGTCTCCAGTTTTAAAATTATCTCAAAAACTACACAGGTTTAGTTTGACAGGGGCTAGTTACCTCCACAGAAAAGTGAATATAAATTGAATTAGACTTTTTTTTTAATGTGTTACAGACTTATGTTTTTAAATAGTGTAGAAGATGACCTGTGCACTTCAAACTGCTACTAATAAATTTATGGCATGCATTTAGATGTAATTTGCATGGAGATTTCTGAGACAGAGAGGCTTATTCTGATCATTCACAGATTAACAAGCTACTGTAACTACCAGACCTGTCAGGAAAAGATATCTCTATAGATTTAGATGCAATCAATGATTACTTGGGGGCTAAGCTGGGGGAAGGGTGCTTGGTACCTATGACCACTGGAGATACTGAAGCATTATGAAGGCTGTGGTCTTTTCCAAACAATTAACACACATACGCACACTCACTGTATACTGAACAAGAATTACCTTAACTATATTGACATGAAGAAAATTACATTCAGCTTTAGCTTGGCCATGCTAAACTCCTTCGTTGCTGACAATGAAAAAGGTTCAGAGTTATTTTAAATGTTTGATCTCTTTACTTATTCATCTGCATCAGACAGCAATTTAAAGCCATTTATAGTTCATGGACCCACTGGAAATCTGTAGTTCTCTGAAAAATTTCTGGTATGAAAGTCTCTTTCCTTCTATCCTAACTGCTTTTTTGCTACCTTTTCTTCATTAAAATCTAGTGGGTAAAAAATTATCCTGCTCTATTATGCTTGACACTTCCAGGCCTCAGTACCAATGTCACCTGTCCAATTACTCATTAGCTAGGTTATAAAACACTGCTGTATGCATGCGTGATTAAAATAATTAGTAATATGAAATATAAAGACAGCAAAGAAGTGCTGACCATGCAAGAATAATATATGTGTTTATGGGTTATGAGAAAAAAACTCTCCTAAAAGGTCCTGTTTCATGTTCAACAGTTTACTGACTCAGTAATATATCAGATCACCACTGGTCAGTAATGGTGTTCTTTCTCTAATATGTTCATTAATTAATGAACTTAGTAATTAATAGTACTGTAAGAAGAAAGGCATACAAAATGGTATTTTTTAATTTACCATAAAAGGTCTTCTCACATTCAGCACCTTCATTAAATCTCTGCACCAATGTGACATACATTTGTTGTATTTTATGTTATTTGTCTTGTTCATGTGTCACTTACAATATGTATAATAGGAGGAATATAGTGTATGTACACATGCTAGATGAAACCATGTCATTTGGTAGAGTTGCTCTATTAAGGCTCATCAGCATTTCCATTACAATCCTACCTATTTTTGGCCTAGAGGTTAACAAGTTCCCTGTAAAAATTGGATTGATCTTGAACCTGAACTACCATGTTTCAGCCTAAGACAGAGTTTTATTATACACATTTAAAAATGACCCATTTAGCCACTATAAATTATAAGATGGTGGAAAAAGTTTAGAGGTTTCATGTTTCTTTTCCTCTTCCCTCAGTTAAAGAGAGTCTTGATCATGTAAAGTACTGAAGAAGACTAATTAGTAACATTTCTATCCTTTATCCCTCCCAAAAATTCATACAAGCTTTTCAGAAATATGAAAATTTCAGCTTGTTCTGCAAATAACTAAATCTAAAAAGTCTTCAAAAAGACCTATGTATTTTTATAAAGTACTATCAATTGGCATAAGAAACTCCAAAGATCAGTAGTAGAATGGCCAAAACATCCAGCTTTGCCTTACTTGGCTGCTACTTCTGTAAAGGGTGTCTTGATACCAGGTTGTAAATCTGCTTTCAGTAGTTTTCCATCCCCCACCGAAAACCCCATTCATACTTCTGAGTGAGGGGACTGGAAAAACTCCTATTCAAGTTCACGTTCTGGCATGAACTTGGGCAAATTACTTTGTTAGCATGATGCCTACATTCACTAAGTGAGAAACAATTATAGTAAAATGTTGTTTTCAGGGTAAATGCAATGTAAATTGTGAGGCACTCTATAGTGGTGGACGCTATAGAAAACCTCAAGTAGAACTTAGTTTTTACCTTAAAGAGTTGGTTTTCAATTTACTCAGTTAATCCATAATCATTGTAACTACCTTAGATCACCACAATATCCAACACAAAACCAACATAACTTGTCACAGAGAATATTCAAGATGCCAGGAATAGTGTGTGTTCCTATACACATGGACGGAACATTAACATTCATTAACATGAAAGAAAGCCTTGTCTTTAAAGATCTTCATAATGCAACCAACGTATATACTCAGCTTGCAAGAATACACATCTCAATTATTTACAGTCTCTTTCTACTGGTTTTCAATAGAATTTGACTTAGGCATACCAGTCACCGACAATTTGTGCAACAGGCTCAGGAATGGCCCAGAATGGCAGCCCCAGAACGTGACATGAATGTGGTGTAGATTCACCTAAGAACCCAGAGCTTTAATGCAGCCCCTCCATTCCCCAGTGGCAGGATTTTAAGGCACAGAGAAGATGAAGTTGCAGTAGCTGTTGTGCTTCTCAGTAGCAGCAGGGATTGGTGTAACTGTGGTTGGACATCTGTTACTGCTTAATTTGGAAGGGGTGGGGTGGGGAGTAGGGATAATAAAAGGATACTGAGTGTGCAGAAGCTAAATATTGTAAACATTGCTCAAACCTGTTAAAAAGTAGATATAAAAGTCCAAGGGTGTAACAATGCTAAATTTTGCCAGAAAATGCTTCTGAAAGAGTACTGCCAGGCATTCCAGAAGTCATGCACTGTAATTCTGCCTTCGCAAGATATTCCTAAAAAGTTTACATAATGGGACTCTGTGTACTACACTATTTTGTAAGGAAAGAAACAGAAAATTTCCTGCCTAAGTTTTTGCTCAGAAACTCCTCCAAGAAAGACATAAAGGAAACGGAAAAGAAATCAACGACCTTGCATAGCAATAGGAACAGATGCAGGCTCTCGCTGTAACCAGCTGATAGGCAACTGTGTAGCTAGATGACAACTTTCAGGTTAAGACCCTTAAGTAAGCAACAAAACATGGTCTTCTACAGCTTCTTGGAAAGTGACATTATATTCTACCATGTCAATAGTTTGCAAGTAACAGGTCTCAGCCATTGTTATACCTCCCATCCAATGAGTTTCTAACATAACGCTCCTTGCGCTTCTAAAATTACAGTAGCCCTTGAGGACCTATGGAGGAAATAGACTGGATTTCAGTAAAATACTTTTAAAGAGTTTAGACAAGTGATTCCTTAAATCTTAAAGCAATCGTATTAAGATTTAAAGACAAAATACACATATACAAGAATAAAGTAATGATTGTGTAACTGACATGGAAACATTCAGAAATATCTTGCTGCTCTCTTTGAGATTTTCTTCCCCTACAATGTAATGCAGAAAGAGAGGAACTTTGCCTAGTGTTAAAGCATGTACTCCAGTACACCTATATGTATGTTTGTACTGCTAACACTGGAAAATGTTAGGCCTGACTTCTGTGGGTTTCCCCCAGACCAAGGATATTAATTTAACATAGTTTGGGTGATTCAATTATGTGTAACAAGTAAATATTATTCACATATTAATAGGAACAGTCTATAGCAGTAATGGAAAATCAATCTGGCTGGCTGTTCCAAGAGATAAGAAGCAATAACCTATCCTGAAAGGGATCACAGTATGGGAGAAAGAGAACATGTAAGGAAGAGATATGAACTCCTCTGGAGCTCTTACAAGTGGCTACAAAAGATGGAGGCAGTTTAAAATTATACAGCATTCTGGACAGGTAGATTTTGCAACTTCCTTTACCCTACATTTTAATAGCATATGTAACAGAAATTCTTAATGTAACTTGTTATGACAGTCCAAGGGTCCTGTGAGGTTAACCAGCTTCTTACTGAAATCTCAGCTACATCCTCCTACTCAGTGGGCAGTGTTAACACAGCCTTGCTCTTAATGTCCTCATGTCATCTTTCTCATGCACAGAAAGTTTCTAAGAAATGTCTCCTATCAAGCCACCTGTAATATGAAAGACCACTGTGCAACTGAATACATGAGAGAGTCAGATACACTCATGGTCTTTGCATGGAAGTTCCATCTGCCTGTCTAAGTATATGCTAATCCTACAGAGCTCAAAAAAATCTGTATCCACTGTAACCAATCATGGGAGCACAAGGCTTGAGGATGATTTGGTCCAGTGTTTGTGAAACCTTTTAAGTGAGACTTCAAACTAGCAAA